CTATGTTCTTGTCTTTGAACCCTGGTTGTTTCATCTGTAAAAATGTGGGTTTGGGCTGCATTGTCTTCAAGGTTCCTTCCAGCTTTAACTTGCTGTCGTACAAGATTGTGCAATTCCCATGGCCTTTTCTGAAGCCGGCCTCTGCCCCAGGATTACGTACTGGGCATTATGTGTAAACCGAAAACAGTGTCCTCAAGGCCCTGCCACATCCCCAGGGAGCAGGCCAGGACCCCAGAGGTGGAGAAAGCTTTGTTGACTCTCTTCATTATCTACAAATAAAAAGAAGAGTTGGAGAATCCTCAGGAGCCCCGCTGTCATCCTCCAGATGAGAGCACACAAACAGCCTCATTAGTCACCTGCTGATGCAGTGTCCATGGGTGGCTGCTTGCCTGCACGAGAAATCCCCATAGTCTCCTTGCTTTTGTCTGAGCTGCAGTGACTTTGTACATCAGCATGGAACCATTCTTAGGCCTGTCTGGGGACCCGGGTGTCTGTCGTCCTCGTTGGTTCCTGTGGATACCAGCCAAGTATCCCTGGAGGTAACCGTTCTCGGCATTAGGGGAGGGAGGAAAGATTCTTCTGCTCTAAATCCTGTCCCCTCCTGTCCTGTCTTGCCGCCACCATCACTGTTGTGCAGAACACGCACCGTTGTGTTGGACTTGCGTTCCGGTGTGTTCTGGAATTTTGTCATGTACTGCCTGAATTAGGTCATCCTTTATTGGGCTGAAAATGTCCTGGTTCAACGGAAAGTTCTCTTGAAATGAAATTCATTGGTTGTGAAGAGATTTTATCTGAGGTAGCAAATTGAGTTTTGGTGCCAGATACAGAATGTAAGGCACAAAAGGGACCCCCCATTGTCAGTATGTGATCATCTTTGTCTGCATAGTAGTTTTTCAGCTTTTTGTGTGAACAGCTTCAGGGATGGAGGACTCTTGTCCTTCCTTCCTTCTTTCCTTCCTTCCTTCTGATTTGGGGTCTCACTCTGTCGCCCAGACTGGAGTGCAGTAGCATGGTCATGGCTCATTGCAGCCTTGACCTCCTGGGCTCAGGCAATCCTTCCACCTCAGCCTCCTGAGTGGCTGGGACTATAGGCATGTACCACCATGCCCTGCAAAAAAAATTTTTTTTTTTTTTTTGAGTTGGAGTCTCGCTCTGTCACCCAGGCTGGAGTGCAGTGGCACACTCACAGCTACCCCAGCATCGACCTGCTGGGCTCTGGCAAGCCTTCTGCCTCAGCCTTCCGGGTAACTGGGACTACAGCCATGTGCCACCACACCCAGCTAATTTTTTGATTTATTGTAGAGACAAGGTCTCGCCAAGTTGCCCGGGCTGGTTTTGAACCCTCAGGCTCAGGCAACTCACTCGCTTTGGCCTCCCAAAGTGCTGGGATTACAGGCTGAGCCATCATGCCCAGCCAAATTTTTAATTTTTTTGTAGAGATGAGGTCTCACTATGTTGCCCAGACTAGTCTTGAATCCCTGGGCTTGAGAAATCCTCCTGCCTGGGCTTCCCAAAGTGCTGGGATGACAGGCATGAGCAGCCACACCCAGCCAAAGGACTCTTGTTACTTCTTTTTTTTTTTTTGAATTGGAGTTCTCACCCTGTTGCCCAGGCTGGAATGCAGTGGCACACTCACGGCCAACGCAACCTCAACCTGCTGGGCTCAGGTGATCCTTTAGCCTCAGACTTCCAAGTAGCTGGAACTACAGGCACGCACCACCACACCCAGCTAATTTTTTGATTTATTGTAGAGACGAAGACTCACCAAGTTGCCCAGGCTGGTCCCGAACCCCCTGGGCTCAGGCAATCTGCCCACCTTGGCCTCCTACAGTGCTGGGATTACAAGTGTGAACCATCACACCTGACCCGAACTCATATTTAATCAAAACTCTTCCAGCAGACAGTCCTTGATTGACACTTTTACCAGGTAAGAATTCTGTATTTGTTTTCTTTAGTATGAAATATGGTTAATTTCAGTGTTATTGGCATTTCCAAAACACCCCTATGGAAGCAGCGCAGTCCACAGCCAAGCAATCCATGTTTGGGCTCAGTGGCTCAAGCCTGTAATATCCCCGCACTTTGGGAGGCTGAGGTGAGAGGATTGCCTGAGTCCAGGGGTTCAAGACCAACCTGGGCAACTTGGTGAGACCTCGTCTCTACAATAAATCAAAATTATTAGCTGGGCATGGTGGCACATGCCTGTGGTTCCAGCTACTTGGAAGGCTGAGGCAGAAGGATTGCCTGAGCCCAGCAGGTCGAGGCTGCGGTGGACGTGAGTGTGTCACTGCACTCCTGCCTGGGCGACAGAGTGAGACTCCACCTCAAAAGAAAAAAAAAGAGAAATATGGGTACAGTCAAACTAAAAGCCCTACCTTCTTCCTTCCCTGTAGACTGGCCATACTGAGAAACCAGGTAGAAAAGAAGTGTGCTGTGTTGAGGCTGGGAAGGACTAGCCTGGCAGGATTTCATCTCTTCCACCATGCCACTGGACTCAGAGGAACATTCAGGAAAACCCTGAACCTACAGCCGGATTCAGCTACAATTCCACACATGCCGCATAGGGGACAGGTGCGGCCTCTCCCATTCCCTCTAGGGCTGTGAACATCCCTAACAGCCCGCAGACTCTTCATGCACCTTAAGCCGAGTGCTTTGGTTCTTTGCAATGTAGCCATTTTCGGCATGAAATGCTTTTTGTGTTTTTTTTGAGTTAGAGTCTCACTCTGTCGCCCAGACTGGAGTGCAGTGACCGCTCCTGGCCACCGCAGCCTCGGCCTGCTGGGCTCCGGCGATCCTTCCTCCTCAGCCTTCCGAGTAGCCGGAATTACAGGCACGCGCCACCACGCCCGGCTGATTTTTTGGTTTATTGTAGAGATGAGGTCTCGCTGCCCAGGCGGGCCTCGAACCCGCGGGCTCAGGCAATTCACTCACCTCAGCCTCCCAAAGGCGCGGGATTAGAGGCTGAGCTACCGAGCCCGGCTCATGAAATGTTTTATTTGTAGATGTGAAGCAGTGAAATGGAATGACAAAGCAAGAAGTGTGTTCTGTCACCCCCACCTTTCTGTATGTCTGAAAGAACAGAATATGAGAAATAGAAAGGTCTTGAATGTGTGGACTCACCTCAGGCTCCAACCATTGTTCACCTCTTCTCCAGCACCCTGGGTTCCTGGTGGGTGCCAACCCATCAAGTGGCAGCCAAGAGCAGGAGTTTCACCAAGACGGGACGGGTGGGGGGCAGCCTGTTTTCTACCATTTCTGCTGATACAGGTGTTGCCTACAAGCACACATGGACTAAGTTGCAATCTTGGCCTGGCCACCCACAAGCTGCACTTTGGGTGAGTTATTTAACCTCTGGTAGCTCAGGACTCTGGAAATAACGGCAGCCACACTACTCTTTGGTTGGATCAAACTGGCTAATGGAAGCCGGGCTCGGTGGCTCAGCCTGTAATCCCGCACTTTTGGGTGGCTGAGGTGAGTAGATTGCCTGAGCCCGCGGGTCCGACACCCGCCTGGGCAGGCGAGACCTCATCTCTACAATAAAATCAAAAAATTAGCCAGGCATGGTAGCAAGCGCCTGTAATTCTGGCTACTCGGAAGGCTGAGGTGGAAGGATCGCCGGAGCCCAGCAGGTCGAGGCTGCGGTGGCTGGGAGCGGCCATTGCACTCCAGTCTGGGCGAAAGAGTGAGACTCCAACTCAAAAAAAAAAAAAAAAAAATTGGCTAATGGAAATTAAGCAATTGACAAAGTCTGTAAGACAAAGTACTGGCTGGGCTCGGTGGTCCAGCCTGTAATCCCGGCACTTGGGGAGCCCGTGGGTTCAAGACCAGCCTGGGTAACTTGGCGAGACCTCGTCTCTAGAAGTAAAAAAAAATTAGCTGGGTGTGGTAGCGCATGCCTGTAGTTCCGGCTACTTGGAAGGCTGAAGTGAAGGATCACCAGCGCCCAGCAGGTCGACGCTGGGGTGGCATGAGCGTGCCACCGTAGTCCAGTCTGGGCAACAAAGTGAGACTCCAACTCAAAAAAAAAGATAAAATGCTTGACATGGTAGCTTTCACCTGGAGTACTAGGCAGTTGAGAAAAAGAGTGAGGAAGATCTCTATGAAATGATATGAGATGATTTCCAGTGCTGGTTATATACTAGATAATAGTAATGTATCAATGCTAATGTCCTGAATCTGATTATTATACTGTGGTTACGTAAAAGAATACCCTTTTCTTAGCAGACACATATTTTGTGTGTGCAGAAAGTGAAAAAAAAAGCAGTCGAGGTTGAAAAAGAAAGTAAATGGGCTGGGCACGATGGCTTAGCCTGCAATCCCACCACTTTGGGAGGCTGAGGCGAGAGGACTGCCTAAACCCAGGGGTTCGAGACCAGCCTGGGCAACTTGGTAAGACCTCGTCTACAATAAATAAAAAAATAAGTCAGGTGTGGTGGCATGCAGCAGTAGTTCCAGCTACTTAGAAGGCTGAGGCGGAAGGATCGCTGGAGTCCAGCAGGTCGAGGCTGCGGTGACCATGAGCATGCCACTGCATTCCAGCCTGGTCCACAGAGTGTGACTCTAACTCAAAAAAAAAGAAAGGCTGGGCTCAGTGGCTCAGCCTGTAATCCCAGCACTTTGGGAGGTCAAAGCGAGTGGATTGCCCGAGCCTGTGGGGTTGAGACCAGCCTGGGCAACTTGGTGAGACGTCTCCACAATAAATCAAAAATTAGCCATGCGTGGTAGCTCCTGTAGTTGTGGCTACTTGGAAGGCTGAGGCGGAAGGATCACCGGAGCCCAGCAGGTCGGGGTTGCGGTGGCCATGAGCAAGCCACTGCGCTCCAGCCTGGGCAAGAGTGAGACTCCAACTCAAAAAAAAAAGAAGAAAGAAAATGGTAGTTCTTAGTTTTCTTGTAACATACTTATTGTACTTTCTGGAATAAAGATAAATCCTTGGGCAGACAGCTTAAGTGTTAGCTTTCAGATTAAGAAGCAAAAATCTGCCCTGTTTAATAAAATGCACAGAAGCTTGCAACCACATTTATTAGAAAAATATTATCCTTTGGAAACTCCTGTCTTTAGAGGCTGGAGATGCGCTCCAGGGCATTGTTCTTTCTGTTCTCATCACTCTTTTCACCTGGCAGGCGTCCAGCTCTCCGGGCGCTCACAGGCCAAGGCACAGCCTGTTCCACCACAAGTCCAACAGGGCACGGCCAGTCACGAGGCAGCGCCGAGGCCAGCCTATTATTTCCCTCAGATGGTTCTGGAGACAACACAGCTGGGAAACGCGTCAGCAGGGCCCCTCAGCAGCTGCAACCGCAACCCGGCCTGCCTGCAGGAGCTCGCGCTTCACCTTTTCCTCACGAACTTCTTTCTGGAAGCGTTGGGATTTAAGCGCCTCCTCCCAGCTCCCAAGGTGCTGTCCCGGACCTGCAGGGCTGCTGACCGGCTGGAGATGTCATTCTCTGCAAAGGGAGACACCCCAGCTATGTAGTCTGGGGCAAACACGTTGGTTTTCTGCCTAGCTTTTCGGGAGAGTCGCAGCTGAGGGAAGCGCTGGTCTTCAGTCAGATGCGGGTTGATGGCGTATTTGCCCCCTTTGGGAGTGGGGAGTGAGTACTGCAAACGAGGAAAGGCCATTAGAGGAACGGGGACCCACAGTCACATGTCCAGGGGCCACTCACATAAAGCTGACCTGACAGATCCTGATGTGGGCAGGTGACAATGGATTGTCATGCACTGCCTGCTGCATGCTACAAACATGGCACACCTCCTCCCACTTGATGCTCACTTCGACTCACAGGGGAAAATCCAATACGTGCTTTGACTATATACCTTCAGCTAGGGACAGAAGAGAATGACATACAGATGCAGAACTCTCATAAGCCGGCACACTTTTCACAACGGTTTGGGTTAGCAGTTCTGAAGTGACAACATACATTCTATGTTTGAGCAAGCAGATACTGTGGGAAGCAGCGCTGGGGGTTCTGGAACTGTGGAAGAGGAGAGGGAGGACTGGAGTGCACAGCGGTGTTGGGCTGAACGGAAGTACACACTCATTGCCTTAGTACAGGCACAGAAACACAAAGTACTCAAGTGTGTGTGTATACACATGTAGACACTGCCTGTCTCTGTCCACCAAGGGTTGAGAAGCAGTGACATCCCAGGACAATAAGCACACCCAGCTCCCAGATCTCCTGAGAGAAACGGCTACTTTTAGGGCAGGAGAAGGCTGAGTCTGGCAACATTGAACATCTTGCTGTGACAGAAAGTAAGAAAGTGTTCAAAGAACAATTGGGATATGTCAAAAGGATACAAGGGCCAGCTCCAAGGGGCTCCCACTGGCCAAGCATGGGATAATTCGAGCCTCAAAATAATGACAGTAGTGGATTACAGCCTAGGGACTAAGACTCCCCAATACCACACTCCTACAAGTCAATAAATGGGTATAAAAGCTCCCTGTTTACAGTAGAATGTCAAGTGATAACACAAGGATGGAATTAGAACATCGCCATTTGGCACTCATCACTATGATAAACGATGCAAGCTACTTTAACTATTGAGTTGAATGAGGAACAGAATATTTACATAGCTTCAGAGTTTTAACTTTCCACAAATATCCATTACAAGTAACTTTACAGTGGATAACTGGCAAAAACCCCCTTAACCAAGTGATCAAAGTTAATATCACTAGCAAATTGGACAACTAATTATCATGTACCCTCTGATACAATTCACTGAGGACACAACATCACTTCTGGGATGTTTCTGCCAAAAAATGCAAGGCCTGAGTCTAATCCAGTTATGAGGAAATATCCGACACACCCAAGCTGAGGGACATCCTACAAAATAACTGACCTAGCTGGGCCTGGTGGCTCACGCCTGTAATCCCAACACTCTGGGAGGCAGAGGAGAGAGGACTGCCTGAGCTCAGGGGTTCGAGTCTAGCCTGGGTAACTTGGCGAGACCTCATCTCTACAATAAGTCAGAAAATTAGCTAGGCATGGTTGCGTGTGCCTGTAGTTCCAGCTACTTGGAAGGCTGAGGTGGAAGGATTGCAGGAGCCTAGAAGGTTGAAGCTGCAGTGGCCGGAAGTGTGCCACTGCTCTCCAGCCTGGGTGACAGAGTGAGACTCTGACACAAAGAAAAAACAAAAACAAAAACAAACTGGCTTGTAGTTAGTCATGAAAGACAAGAAACTGAGAAAGGACTGAAGAGACATGACAAATGCAGTGTGTGATCCTAGAATGAATCCTGAACCATCTCCCTTTGCTAGAAAGGAAATCTATGGAATAACCAGTGAAGCCTGAATATTTGGTCTGTAGTGTAGATCAGGCAGTAGTATTGGAACAATGCTGAATGATACTTGTGGTTATGCCAGATAAAGTCCTTATTTTAGGGCAAAGGGACAAGCGTAGAATTTACTCTCAAGTGGGTCAGAAAAAAATGTCTATGTATGTATACATACATACACACACACATATAAATATATGTAGAGAGGGGGAGAGTGAGAGAGAAAATGTGGTATAAGATGAACAGTGAGGCCAGCCTTGGTGGCTTAGCCTGTAATCCCAGCACTTTGGGAGGCTGAGGCGAGTGGGTTGCCTGAGCCCGTGGGTTTGAGACTAGCCCGGGTGGACTTGGCGAGACCTCATCTCTACAATAAATCAAAAACTAGCTGGGCGTGGTAGTGCGCACCTGTAGTTCCGGCTACTTGGAAGGCTGAGGCGGAAGGATCGCCAGAGCCCAGCAGGTTGAGGCTGCGGTGGCCGGGACTGTGCCACTGCACTCCAGTCTGGGCGACGGAGTGATACTCCAACTCAAAAAAACAAAAACAAAAAAACAAAAAAAGATTAACAGTGGGAAATCCAGGTGAAGAGTAAACAGTAATTCTTTGAACTATTTTGTTTTACAACTTTTCTATAAATTGAAATTTACTTCAAAATAGAAAGTCAAAAAAAAAACATTTCTGGCTGGGCACGGTGGCTCACGCCTATAACCCTAGCACTTTAGGAGGCCGAGGTGAGAGGACTGCCTGAGCCCACGGGTTGGAGACCAGTCTGGGCAACTTGGCGAGACCTCATCTCTACAATAAATCAAAAAATGAGCCAGGTGTGGTAGCGCACCTGTAGTTTCAGCTACTCGGAAGGCTAAGGCAGAAGGATCGCTGGAGCCCAGCAGGTTGAGGCTGCAGTGGCCAGGAGTGGCCACTG